AATGTCACGCATTTTCACATCACAGGCCTCGATGTCGTTATTATAATGTGTCTCTGTATTATTTACCATTTGGAAAAATGTTTTAATCATCGATAATAAATAAATACAAAGAACTGCTGCCTACCTTAGTTCAACTTCAGCTATTTCCGGGTGCAGTTGTCACAATCGAGCGGCATGAGCTGTCAGTTAGCCGGTTCCCCTCCCCTTTGCTGTTATATTCTCCTCCCTATTTATTATTTCGGGCACTTTTACGCTTGTATGATATGGATTGATTTTATTGTTTCGTGAATTTTAACGATCCCTATCCATTATAGGGATTGGTTATACATTGCATTTGTGTTGTTATTAAATCAGAATATCAGAAACAATTAAATCACGTCTCTAAAATAAAATAGCAAAGGTTTTCAATATAAACGACAGAGGGAGGACAACGGAACAGCCACGTCGTATCTTTTTATCTGGACTGTCTCGTCTCAAACAGAGAATTAGAGTAAAACAAAGAATTTTCTTGTTTACACTGTTAAACAAAGTAGAGACTTTACAGCTACAAAACATAACCCTATTTACTAACAGACAAATATCTCCCATTTCAACTTAAGTCGATTAAAATCTTGGATTTTATTTTTGAAGGTTCAAATAATACACATTAAGCAATTATAAGGCCATGTATGAGAAAAAAACAAAAGAAACTTGTTGATTGTCCTCGCACGACCTGCCTGGCAATTTATACCACCTGACCTGTTTGGGTTATATATGTGGGGTTTTTTTTATTTATTTATTTCCTCATAAGTTTATTGTCCCCAAAAAGGATGTCGCAGAATAACTGCGATACAACTTCAAATGTGATGGCTCAAAACATCCATACCGCATGTACAGGCCGTGGGGACAGCTAAAGTAGATAGCGGAGATAGGTGGGGAGGGGAGGAGAGGAGATGGGCGGTGGGTATATTTTGGAATGGAAATAAAATGAAATAAAATGAAATGAAATGGGGTTTAACGTCCTACTGTTCTGCTCCGAACTGGGCTAATGAAGACGGGCATACGCCATACAGTGTGCTATGAGGGAAATTTTGCCTGGACAGCGGCACTACGACCTACTGTTATATCGAATCCCAACTGTCAAGGGATCTTTTACGTGCACGCCAATGTGTATACGAGACCTCGGTTTTTCGACCCATCCGATCGACTAGACAGCTGTCCTTGTCAGGCCCTCCGTCTTGTGTCACTGACAAGGGGGAACCATGCCGGAATTTTGGAATGGGTTATCACCCTAGTAGTAATGGCAAAAGGTAAGTTGGGGTTATGGGGTAGCTAGATAGATATTTTATAATGTATATTATATAAAAGCCTCTATAAAGATTTCTGTCGTTGTGGACGACCATCCACATAAATGTGTTGTGATATTACCTGTCAATTACTAAAATTATCCTTAGCTTCCCTTATACCCCCCCCCCCCAATTATCCCTGGTTCAGTTGTAAATATCAGTTATGACTAATTATAATGTTAATCAATTAAAGTACCAGTAATTTTTATATTTGTTTGTATTCTGATACTTTTCCCAAAAGATATTAGCGACAAGAGAGCTTTACCCCTCCCCCTTCCTCCATTCCTTCCCATATATGGTTATTTCCGTAAATATCATAGCGATTTCGCATTTCTGAAATGTTCTCAGGGGTGCTGTAAAAAATTGACGGACAATGTATATCAATTTTACCCCTCCCTCCATTCCTTCCCATATATGGTTATTTCCGTAAATATCATAGCGATTTCGCATTTCTGAAATGTTCTCAGGGGTGCTGTAAAAAATTGACGGACAATGTATATCAATTTTTTTATGTTCGAAAATTTTTTCACAGGGGGCGGGGGAAGTGGGAAATTTTTGCAGAGCCCCCCCCCCCCCCAGTTATGGGCCTGTATATAATTATTATACACTGTAAAAAATAGATACCCCCACCCCCTACCCTCTGTACATCCCGCTCCCCAAGATATTAAAAAGAAGGATCACTAGTCGTTGATTTTTTTTTTTATCATGGGACAGGACTGATTTTAAAAGAATGCTTTGATATCAAGCACCTGTTTTAAACACAGACACCGATTTGATATATCAGAAAATGATTATTTATTGGGACAATTGCGAATGGAGACAGGCCACCATTAGACATACATTATGCAAGAGGTAAATCTGCCTATTGTAGGTCTTTCTTTAGGCCTGAAATGCTATCTAAAAATAATAATTAGACATTAATTAACATGACAAGACCATAAGCAATTCTCGATGCCATCTGATGGGTGCGATTTTAAACAAATTTGAATCCGATCTCAGAGTCAACGGTTGTTGTTCATAATTAACAATCAAGGCTACAGTGTTTCTGAAATTCAGTTATATCGGCCCAGAGTGAAGTAATTTGACTGACAATCGTAGCACTATCGTCGTTGCGACATTGTTTTTAAATTTATAGACAAGGAATAGAGAAATAAGATGGGTTAAACAACATTTTTTATCTTTACAAATTATTCTCTATTGTCAGTATATTAAGGTATGAGTTTATTTAAAACGCAAATTAACTGTTTATGAAATAGCGTGAGAATAACAGGAAAGAGGGTCTGAGTTCAAGGATAGATTGTGTCGAAAAACATGTGACGGAAAATTACGATTGCATCATTTAGCTTGTTTGACCAATCTCTATACTTATTTACATGATATCTGACCAATTAGATAATTGAACGTCCAAAACCCACAGCTACAAAACTATAATACTTGTGAGAATTCGTTAGACTTCTATTAGGTTCCAGAGGGCTTACAACTGGTTTTAACTAGTATTGTTATCTATTATGCTTGTATACCTGTATTCAGCTATATATATATAAAATGTAGAAGCAAACTGTCGCATTGTTATTCCTGGTAAGACAACGTCTTAAGAATCCGTAAGAAGTAAATACACAACGTGAAGCAGAAGTAAAGACAGCTAGAGACAAATTCTAGACGATCACAAGGCTACAGAAATATGTAGTAAGAAGAGATGCATGGGTTGTATGTAGGATGTGGCGACCGGTTTCCCATAGACGCTCTCCACGTCAGACAGAAGGCTCATGGTGCTACATATTCTCAGCATATTCTCTTTACATTATCTATTTTAAAACTATTATAGCTAGAACTGTCGGCTCTTTATCTAATACCGCCGATACATCTCGAAACAACAAAACGATCTTTTTGGTTTGCAGCACCCTACTTGTGGAACTCCCTCCCCCACCATATTCGAATAATACCATCACTGCATGTGTTTAAACAACAGATAAAGACTCTGCTTTTCACAACTGCTTTCCAAGACCAGTATTGAAAAATTTGCCTAGCGCAATATAAACTTTAATTAGTATTGTTGCGCGAACATAAATTTAGATATATTATTATTATTATTATTAATCTTCCACTACGCCGCTTGAAATTTCTCTTTGTCTATTTATAGCGAATCTCTATCTTTGTGTATCTCAAAATTTCAGTGATCAACCCCATACAAAATTTGGAGCAAAGATATGGCCATTTGTTGCCCTGTCTGTAGTGTAAAACGTTCAGCCCACAGAATTTGGGGAAAAGTTGGAGCCGGACAAAGAGAGCAGAATTGACTTTGAAACCAATGGAGAAATTAATGGTGGTCTGCCTCCGAATAGTGTTGAAAGAGTTATCTCCCATTAATTATAATTTTCACACATTTGGTATAAAAAAAACCCACACAAATATATGGTTACGCGTGTAGTGGGGGGTGGGATAATTTTGCCCTGGCAGCGTCATTTCTGTCTACTCGTCTCTGAATTCCAACAGATCTAATACCGATTTGTAGATGGGACATGTTTTTCCTTCCCATTCAAACGACCAGTGACCGTCAAATTTTCCAAAATATTCTTGCACCCCCCCCCCCCCACATGTTATCGAGTCCACACGCCTATGGACCAGACAAATTGTTCTTGTCAACCCCGCGGGTGCCATTCTGAAAGAGTGAGAACCCGGTTTGGACATGCCCAAAGCCGGGACCTCTCCATTAGCCCACTCGGAGCAAAACAGTAGGACGTTAAACCCCATTTCATTTCGTATACTTATTTATTATATACACTATAACATTAGATGACGCTTAAAAAGGGGCAGACAACTCGAAATTATGATTTGACACTCAATTAAGAGCAGACAGCTAGAAATTATGATCGATAAGTGGTCGATTTGTTTTATCTGGGAGTATTTTTTTTATAAATTTATGTGTTTATCTACCGTAAACATAGAAGTACTTGTACTTTATCTACTTTAATACATTAAAGGAGCATTAGATACAATTAGTTAGAGAGCTGACAGATTTCTCGCAACAATAGTCCAATTCGATAATGAAATAATGAAAACAAAATATGCTGAAAATTTCAGTCAAATTGCTTCGCTCTGAACCGAGATATTAGCATTTCAATTTTAAGCCTTTCCTCGATCGTGATTACTAAAGTTGGTACGACAATAAACAAAGTCTTTATTATCCATTTTTACCTTAAATCATTCATCACAAAACGTATTCAAATCCACTAAATATCGCAGGCTAGCGATGGCATCGAGAGTTGATTATAGTCTTGATAAGTTAATTAATGTCTAATTGATAGTTTCTATGGCCTAAAGAAAGACCCACAATAGGCAGATGTAACTCTTGGATATATAATACATGTTTTATATAAAGTTTTGGATGAATAATTTGTACCAGTGCGGTATTCACAAATCGCGAACAATATAACACCTACATGATTTCACAAATTCTTTATTAAATTATACCAAGGATTATAAGGTCAAGGTCCATGGTTATATCAATCTCATTAAAATACAGGGCCCCTATTCACGAAAACTTAAACTAAGATACAATCGAAATTTTAAGAAATACTGCAATTCGATTGGCTGACCAGTAAAACCAATTTGCATATATCCAATTTGCATATTGGTCAGCCAATCGAATTACAGTATTTCTTAAAATTTCGATTGTATCTTAGTTTAAGTTTTCGTGAATAAGGGCCCTGATCTATATTTCGTTTCGTTTTTTTTTATACTTTCGATGGCCTACACTACATGAAGATCTGACAAGTTGTAGCGATAGGTCGCGTCAGAGGTCATACGGGCGGCTTTTGAACCTATGGCGTAAGACATTTGATTAACCAATTAGCATTGATGTTTCTAATGGATTACCCACAGTTCCGTGCAAAACACGCCTAAACCTCGCCGTAACAGACCGTTTCATTGGCTAATCCCTACCACTATTCAAAACATGTCAATGATAACAACTCTTCCAGATCCTAGTGTAGTAAAGACAAGTAAAACGAAATTTTGAACTATGAAAAACGAAACGAAATAGGATCTGTGTTTTAACCAGATTGTGTTTATATACCATTACAAATTTTCTAACACCGTCAACCAACATCATGAAAACAAAATAGCAAATCGAAATTTTTGGTTGGCATCAGACGATTGGTACGGATACCAGAAAATATAATTACAATCCCAAACATTATTAAACATATTAAATGATATTCCAGATATATTCGTTATAGGCGTCAGTGGTACCGGAAGTACCGATACGTCATCAACTGTCTGATGTATGGTTGTCAAGGCAACATCCATGGAAACCAATTCTATCCCGTGACCGTCTTTATCTTTATATGTAACACTTTTATCAATAGCTGTAAGAGAAAAAGAAAACCATATTCTAAGACAAAAAATAAACTTCAACATCAGCGGACATTTAAACAAACTCATCCTTGTCCAGTTGTCGACGCAGGATATTTGTTGGGGGGGGTGGTGGTTCTGGAGTGTAAAGAACGCCGACAACCGCCTACAATTCGGGGCCTGTCAAGTGACAACGTGGGTCTAAAGTCGTTCGGAAGGGTAGAAAAACCGAGGTCCCACGTACACATTAGCGTGCACGTAAAAGTAGGCCGTAGTGCCGCTATTCGGGCAAAATTCCCATCATGGCGCATGCTCGTCTTCATTAACGCAGTCAGAGCAGAACAGTAGGATGTTAAACCCCATTATACTCCATTTCGCCTATCATGGAGTGCCTCACCTCCTAGACTGGATAACCTGCTCTAATACGCCAGAGTCGCCCCTACGTCACTCCTTTTCTGACTTGCATATTAAATAGACTGGACAACCTGTTCTAAATGACGCCAGGCTTGTTCCTACGTCACTGCGCTATTCTGACTTCAATATGAAAGTCAGAAAAGGAGTGACGTAGGAGCGAGTCTGGCGTATTAGAGCAGGTTATCCAGTCTAGCATATTATATTGAAGTCAGAATAGCACAGTGACGTAGAAACCAGCCGGACGTCATTTAGAGTAGGTTATCCAGTCTACATCACCTGCTTCCCACAAAGCTCATAAGGCTTGCCACCCCATACCCCATCACCCAACCAACATACAACTCGAATTTACGTGTTTCGTAGGAACAGAATGATATTTGTTAACTTACCATGTAACCGTTGACTACCATTGGTAACAACATTCAAAGGATCAATGAACTGCCCCAATTTGTTAACTCTCCATTCCTTACCGGGTTGTAAATTAGGTTGAAACGAATAGGAAATAGATTCAGCTAATCTGGTCGGCATTTTACCAAACCACTGTACATCAGACTCTAGAACTATTCAATAAAACGTATAAATACTTAGAATGATAGCCGCTCATGCCTCCGTCAGAACGGGGTGGGGTCCTTACTGTGCTGCTACGGCGACGGATAATGATCTGAGATCGCGTCAACATCGCCATAAGCGTGGTAAAAGCGTGGTGGAAACGCCAGATATCGTGCCGTGGTCGCCAATGATCGCCAATGATTGCCGAGTCACGCCTTTTGTTTTGGGCATGTTCAAAGCAAACGCCAAGGTTATGCGATCTGGCCTGGAGAACTGTGAGAACCCGGCTTTTTTTCAAGTTTGTAATTTTTGGGGACATTTTTTCGAGCTGTGTTCACGTTTGACGGCGACCTTGTGTATTTTCTGGTCGCCGTACGGTCGCAGCAGCGCAGTAAGGACGCCACCCCGGTCTGACGGGGGCATTATGCTACCTTCCCACTATCACGATTCGTGTTGCGATTGAAATCGTGGTTTTAATCGTGGAGTAATCGTGATGATCCTATCAGGTCTTATCATATATTGATAGTCGTGACAATCGTGTTGATTGTATCGAAACGTATCCGAACTATCTTCAGGTACCAGATCGTGGAATCAATATGGACTTTTGGCAATCCGAATGTTTCCATCCGTATCACGTATCTGAACGTATCTTCATGTACCAGATCGTGGAATCAATATGGACTTTTGGCAATCCGAATGTTTCCATCCGTATCACGTATCTGAACGTATCTTCATGTACCAGATCGTGCACTCAATAGGAGAGACAGATGGGGGTGGGGTGGGGACATACACAAACACACACACACACAGGGCTTAACGTTTAACGTCTACTCGACACAAACTAGGTCATTTCGGGACTAACACATGGTGGAAAGCTGAAAGCTAGCATTACCAATAACTGGTATACAATATAACTTTCAAACTATAGACATGAAATGAAATTGGGTTCAACATCCTATACGTCAGCACTAACCGCGTTGTACTCTATCTGCTTAAGGTCTTTGTTTTAGTCTTGATCTCTGTTCTTCGTCCGCACGGAACGACTAGACACCGTTCTCTGCCAGCCGCCCCCCCCCCCCCCCCGTCCTGCAACACTGACAAGAGGAGACCAAGCTGGAAAATCTCAAGGAACTTTTCTCAGCCAATATTGCCTTACTGACTGAGTCACTGTGGTATCTAATGTTATACCAGGTAGAGCCTATCGGGTTCAGTGGCATAACGTTGTTTGCCAACACCCTAACTATGGACTGTTCTCACAGCGAACATGTTACGTGGCAAAGTTTATTTCAGGCCCTTAACTAGAGGTCGCACCGCCCCCCACCCTGTTAAAAAATTGTTGACCATAAAAACAATAGATATACATTGTACGTCACTTTTACAATACTCCTGCGAACACTTCCCTCCCCCTCGTTGCTCTTAGCTAGTTACGGCCCTGGTTTATTTGCACCGTAATTTTGAAAATCTGTGTAGGATTTTGCACTCGGGGCAATCGACCCGGTAGCCACGCCCGCGTTAGCCATCTACTACATGTACTAACATGGATTATGAATTACCCTCCTTTAACCGTCTTCAACAGAAATGACGATCTATGGGTGCTTAATACCCTGCTGTAACCCCAAGTTACAATCTCGACCCCAGAGATAAGTTTACTCTTCGTTTATCGCAGGAAAAACTCGCCGGCCATTTTAAATGTCACGTGATGTATCCTTCCGTCGGTCGCCTTACGAAGATCCAAGATGGCAGTTCAAATACGCGTTTCTTCAGAAATTTCACGTCAAGATGTGGAAAATGTTCCAAAGATCATTAATATGTAACGCATGCAACGAATCGATACCTTTGTTGAGACAGCGACAACATTGCATTCTAACAAATCCTGCCAATCAGTAGCCGCGGGGGCGGAGCTAAACAACGATTTCACGCTGATTAATGGCCGGCGAGTTTTACCAAGGGCGGTAAAGTTATTTCTGGCATCGAGATTGTCCAAGATACACACACATATTTATATACTTACTACTATTTTTAAGAGAATAATAACGGATATAGATGGTGGGTGGGGCACCATAAAATGTAGTAGCCCTTTCCTCTAACATTGAGAGCTCCAACAATATATCACATGTTCCAGCTGAAAAACAAATCAAATGCGTCGAGGATGTCATATGAAATTTCTCAGACCAAAGAGAAAACAAAGGCGTACTTAGATTTTGTCGACTTCGCACATTAGATTTATTTTAGACCAAGACTACTTCTCTATTTCATCTATTCACTGTCCCAATAAACTACGGTGAAAATATTGAAGTTACGAACAATAAATGATCGTTCATTCAAAGGATAAATAAAGGAAAACCGAGCAACGACAGCACATGGAGTATTTAAATTTGAATTTCTAATGGTAAATGGTACCATGTTGTCATAGGATAGAAATACAACACTTTTATCATTTTCAGACTGACAAACAATTATTATATACTGGCGGTTAACCCGGCGCTGCCCAGGTTGTGTTCGTAACTCAGAAACCAGAAGAGGTAGGCCAACACCACCGACCATATGTTAATCCCCAGTCAGATCTATCCCTATATACCAAATTTCGGCCTCGGGATAGCCCTAGTGTAGCCGCAAACCCTGAACAGACAGACAGCATGTCACAAATATTAGTATAGATATGTTCCCGTATGTAACGCTAGGTCGGTCATCGACGTCTCCGTCCCGTATGTAATGCCAAGCCAGTCAGCGGCGTCCAGTCCCGTATGTAATGCCAAGCCGGTCCCGTATGTACCGCTAGACCGGTCAGCGACGTTTCCGTCCCGTATATAAAGCTAGATCTAACCCTTAGAAAATCAAATCAACTAGTTATAAGAATCCCTAGCCCTAACCCTGGGATAGTGGAAAAAATTCATTTTTAGAAAATCCAGTCCTTAGTAGGAAAGACACCAATGTGGCTCTCACCCGAGAGCCTCATATTTATTCTTTATTGTTTCAGAAATAAAAATACCAGTATACCACAAGCGACACCGAAGGAAGACCATCAGCACCACCAACACCAATAAACAGCGAAATCAACTTTGTATATAAATCTAATGTATTGCATGTATCTTTTTTTTTTATATAAAAACTAGGAAATATCACGAACCAAATTTTCATTATCCTAGGCCAGTGCTTATGTGGAGACTCAACCTCTCCCCGCAAATTCTAACCTAAAATCTCGCCAACAATCACGTGCCCTGACCTTATTGACATCTCAGCGACCATGACGAAAATTGAGTTGGCTTTAACACATAGATCTAGCCCCGCTTCTACTACCTTAGCCTCACTTCCACTCTACCTTAGCCTCGCTTCCACTCTACCTTAGCCTCGCTTCCACTCTTCCTTAGCCTCGCTTGCACTTTGTATTCCTGATTGTTTTCAAATTTGAGTGAAGTCTGTGTCACTACAGGCAGTGGACGCTTTCGGCTGGCCCCCGGATCCATTCACTTGATTTGATATTTTTTTATTTGGTGCAATGTCTATTTTCTGTCTTGTCCGCAGGTTTATCTTGTAGATTTTTGTTTTGCGTGTAGTGCGGTCCTCCTGCACTTACTATTAGAGAAATAGTAACTGCTTGGTATACCTTGGTCCCACCAGGTTTTGAACAAAACTATCTGTAGCATTTTCAAATCATATTTTATTATATCATGTACCTCGACATTATTACCACGATTTAAAGTCGTACACAGAGACTCACCTTTTGCTTGATAAAGATTCACTAATTTGGTTTTCCAGATTTTTGATTCACAAGTTGGACAATTGGCCGTTAAATTCCATTTACCAATCTGTAGCCAGTAGAATCGGGTATAAACATACTGGTCATGGAAGTCATTGAAGTCCGTGTCATTATAAGTTTTATATATTATCTGGCCCAGTGGATTGGTTCGTGAGGCCCAGTTGTTCTAAAACATACAAGTTAAACATCTCTGAAATAAGGTGTTCGCCTTGGGATTCTGTAACCGAGTTCCCCATGTTAGTGATGCTAGATGGAAGGCATGGCGGGGATGGGACCCGAGGTCCCGTGTGTAAAAGGAATATCTCATAAGTATCCCCACCTCCATAATCCCGGTTGGAACACATAAATAGGACGTTAAACTTCATTTTAATTTGTTAAATTTTATATTGAGATTAGTCACCGACCTCACACTCAAGACAAAGACAATGCAAGTGAAATGGGGTTTAACGTCCTACTGTTCTGCTCCGACTGGGATAATGAAGACGGGCATTCGCCATAGAGTGTGCTATGCGGGAAATTTTGCCCGGACAGCGGCTCTACGACCTACTCTTATATCGAATTCCAGCTGCCAAAGGATCCTTTACCTGCATGCCAATGTGTACACGGGACCTCGGTTTTTCGTCCCAAACAAACGACTAGACAACTGTCCTTGTCAGGGCTTCAGTCCTGCACCACTGGCAAGGGGAAACCACGCCGGAAAAAAACGATAAAACTTTCTCGGCCAACGCGACCTCCAGGCTAGCGAACCAGCGTCTTACCCACTTAGCCATCGTGACTAACTGTAAGCAATAAACACTAACAGTACTATCAAGGCAAGTAAATGGACTTCACTCAAACGAAAAAAACAAACAAACCTCCAACAAGGGAGATAATCCACAAACACAAAACACGAAAAAGGAAATGTTCTGTTCCTAAATATTTGAGGGTAATTACGTGTAATTTGTACCCCCGATAGTTGCTCTAATTGTATAATGGAACCATCTTCATCAAAACCAAACTTTAAACCAGCTACACAAGATACGTTTCTACCAGGTAACTTGTCATAATCTGTACAATATATAAATATATAATCAGTCAATTATACCTGTTTACAACATCTATAAATAACCGTGTGTTAGTCCCAAAATACCGATGTATTGGGCTGACTTTAAACCCCATTCCTTACCTAGATGCTCGAGAGAGAGGGAGAGAGAGGGGTGGGGGTGGGGGGTTAACGTCCACCCGACACAAACTGGGTCATTTCGGCGCTAACGAACAAAACAAAATTAAATGCCAATTCGGTTAAAATCTGCATGTAGGAGGTCTAAAAATACTACGACTGAATCTGTATACGAGGTCTAAAACAAGGTTAACGCCCATTTTCCATGCGTGCTTTTAATTGCGGCATTTGCGCTTGCGTTTTCGTTTCCATGTAGCCAGCAAAAACGCGTACATGGAAAACGTGTTTAATACGACTGAATCTGTATAGGACGGCTCAAACAGGGGGATCACGTGGCTAAGTGGGTAAGACGCTGGCTCGCTAGCCTGGAGGTCGGGTGTTCGATCCCTGCATTGGCCGAGAAAGTTCGATCCCTGCATTGGCCGAGAAAGTTCATCCAGATTTTCCGGTGTGGTTCCCCCTTGTTAGTGATGCAGGACGGAGGGCATGACAAGGACAGCTGTCTAGTCCTTCGGATGATACGAAAAACCGAGGTCCCGTGTATTTGGAATGCACGTAAAAGATCCCCTGGCAGTGGAATTCGATATTTAAGAGTAGGCCGTAGTGCCGCTGCCCGGGCAAAATTTCCCTCATAGCACACTGTATGGCGTATGCCCGTCTTCATTAGCCCAGTATAGGAGCAGAACAGTAGGACGTTAAACCCCATTTCATTTCATTTCATTTCACGTCTCAAACAAAGTCAATAGAGCGGAATCTGTATAAGACGTCCAAAAACAAACAAGGTTCAATCAGTGAAACTCAGAATAAGAAGATGATATTTAAACCAGAAACGTACACGAAAGGTCAGGTTTTACTGGAACCAAGTCTTCATACTGTTGACGTACATCCTCAGCTAGCGGATGGCTGCCCAGAGTCTCCAGGGCTAGATCAAGGAACCCTCTCTGTTCAGACCATGACGATATAACATTCTCAAAATTAGGAGCTGAAAAAATAAATTTGGATCATTGATTTAAAACCGAGGGCATCTTCCAATAAAACAACATTTCAAATAAACGGTTGTTACTACACACTGGTGTCCCCCAAGTTCTCCCCATGGTTCCTAAACACATACAATATTTCATAACATACATATGTCACAATTATCCATGGACCAGTTTCTCAAATTTTCCCCATAATTCCAAAACTCTTACAAAAACTACCAATCTGATTAAAATACAGATCTATATTTCGTTTCGTATTTTTATACTTTTAATGGCCTACACTGAAGATCTGACCAATTGTAGTGGAAGGTCGCGCCAGAGATCATACGAGCGGATTCTCCCCATAGTTTCAAAACTCTTACAATAACTCCTAGCCCTCCAATTCTCCCCTTAGTTCTCAAACTCTTACAATAACTTCTAACCCATAGTTCTCAAACTCTTACAATAACTTCAACCCATAGTTCTCAAACACTTACAATAACTCCTAAACGGAAATTTCTCCTCATAGTTACAAAACTATTACAATAACCCCAAGCCCTCAAATTATCCTCATTGTGTTAAAATTTACAATATTTCCCAACCCTTAAATAATCATTGTTATTACCTTTATTTTCGAGTTGTTTGGTAAATAGATCGTTTGTCCAATTAACGGAATCCTTGACATTGTTTAAACCCCAGGTATGTTCTGCTAATTTTACCAACACACGACTTGCATTATACACAGGTAGCTCAATATTAGAACATTTACCTATAAAATAATGACGAAACATAAATAGGTTTTACAAATTAAAGGACTGACCCGAAGATGAGATATGATCTTTATTTTCGTAACTTACGGGCTGACATATCGAGACAATTTTTATCCCGACCTAACGTCAAGATATTTTCCCATTATGAAACCGCCAACTTCTTCGAAGGGCTGCCAAGCTTTCCCGGAGAATTCACCTGCAAGACATTACCTGTCTCCAGACAATCCGCTCGAGCACGAAAGAAAGCTCTCATCTGTGCTACTTTGGTTGGATCCGAAGATATTCCCTGTATCCACGTATCTCCAATCTCTTTATCCACCACCGGTAGCTTATCTTTAATTCTCTGAGCAGCTCCCACAAAGTCCTCAAATGTTGACGCCTGGACATAAGCGCCTGGAAACTGTCCTCTTACTATTTCATACGATGTGAGCACCTCCTGGAGAAAACAGTACATATTAGTATGTTATATCTTAAAGAGGTTGTTACATAATTGGAGATCGTGTAGAAAAATGTCAATTAACACCTTCCATACATCATACCGATTAACCGTAACATTGGTACTGGTCTGACACGGCCAATGGCCACATGGAACTCATTATTCACTACCCCTTATCAGAGTTATGATGCAGTAAATAGCCAAATCTATATTATCTCTTCGATATCTTTTGTTTTATAAGCAAACTGTTAAATCTGATATGATGCAGTAGCCAGATGTGTAATGAGATCCTTTGTCTAGAAAGGATTTGTAAGCAGAAATGAAAAAATAGATAGGGAGAGCGGAGGCCATGGGCGCCTTGGAAAGAGACTACGCGAGGGCGTCTAGAAGTTAACTTGTTAAGACCAGACAGCAGCCATTTAAGTAAGTCGGGAGTTGGCACCCAAGGGTGTCTAGCCATGTTAGGACCACGACTCTCTCAACACAAGCTAATTATGTTAAAAGAAGAATAAAAGTATCATATGAAGTTAAACCGGACATAAAGACCCAATACTGTAACAAGATAGAGAAATGGGGTTCAACGTCCACTCGACACAAACCAGGCCATTTCGGGACTAAAACATATGGTTCAATTTTATTTCAATAATTCGCTTGCGTGTAGGGATCTATAGCAGTTGGAGGACCCGGAGAAAACCACTTTCTCTTTCTCTCTCTCTCCACTCTCTTAAATCAATACGGTTTCAATTACCTGGACTGATTGTGGAGGTCCTTGGTTATCTCCCCTGAAGGAGAAGCACATGGCCTCTTCAAACTCTGAGAAAGTAACACAATTATCTCGTGATAGCCCTATCGGCATGCTGGGAAAACTACCCGGATGTAGAGGATATCCACCTGGTAATAAAGTAATAATAAATAATTAAATGCGGTTTAACTTCCTACTTTTCTGCCCTAACCGTGCTAATGCAGTGTGCCGTGAGCTCTTATTTCTACTTCTAATGTACTGTCATCGTCTGTCAATAGCCTACGTGGGATGTACATTTTTCATTTCATCTCATCAGAAAGTCTAGACGCCTTTCTTTGTCTGGCCCTCCGCCTTGCACCACTGGTAGGCATGCCCGTAGCCAGCTTGCTGACTGCGGAGGGGCCGTGAAGTTTTTAGGGGGGGGCACACCCTCAGGGGGGGCAATCCATGCCCCCTGCTGGCTACGGGCCTGCCGGTAGGGGAATGCAGTTTGGGAAATTCCGAGAAACTGTTTCGACCAAAACCGGGATCGAACCCAGGGCCCCCTATATAGATATTGGGCCTTACTCGCCGAGCCACATAAATAATGAAATATGAAGGACAATGATAAAGGAAATCTGACACAAGCTCATGGAATCTTGTTGAAGTTTAGCTCAGTCAGCACTCCTGCAAAACAAATCTGATATAAACACACAGTCCTGGGTTAAACCTTAATAAGCACGTGCTAAGGGAACTAAGGCAATGGGACAGCATATCGAACCAGTGCCCACAAAGGCCACCCCAAAGTAAATTTCAAAAGCAACCCACTCATCTTGTATTTTGGGTCACTTGTATTTTGAGTAAAGACAATACCTGGATGCCACATGGCTATAAGACTTGTATTTTGATAAACCCATTGGAATATTTTAGGTACAGCCGGAGGTGATGATACGGTGTTGACACCAACTGTTATACCTTCTATACCATGTCTAGCTAGGATTGGTAACAGAGCTTGCGTCATTCCTGTAATAACATATATTATACACTTAGGATAGATAACACAGCTTGCGTTATTCCTACTATAAAATGGATTCTACACTTAGGATGAGTAACAGTGTTTGCGTCATTCCAACTATAAAATATATTATACACTTAGGATTGGTAACAGAGTTTATTTTCAAGGAACATGGAACTGTTACTTCACTGTTTCAAATGAAGATCTTACACGGAAAAAGGAACTGTGATCGCACTGTTTCTAATGAAGATTTCAGGCGGAACATGTTCCTGTTAGCGCACTGTTTCTAATGAAGATCTTATACAGAACACGGTGCTGTTAGCGCACTGTTTCTAATGAAGAAATTACCTGGTACATCTCTCTGACTCATTGTTCTATGTTGACGAGGTTGATATATTCTGGCATCCATGTCTTCAGACAGCTGTAGACTGAACTCTACCATGGAGACGTCCAGAGCTTCATACTGCATGTTCATCGGCCCAGCATGCCAAGTAATGTCACCACGCTTGGCGGCATATAAAAACGATTCTCTCTGGGTAGGTGTAGGACACTGTAGAATCAATAAGCATTATTAAAGTATTGTAAATGATGGGGACTACTATTTTATTTTCAAACATGGCTCAAGTAGTTTATTCTTTAACTAAAAAAAGAAATTTTAACGGTCGGAGCCAAATTCGGTATCGAGTCAAAAACTAATCTTTTGCAGCTTCTGCAGTACGTTACCTGTAGTTTGACGCCCGATAATACCAGGTTTGGTGGGCAGTCGAGGTAGAAGCTGACTAGCCAAGGATGTGTGGTGTAGACCAATCTCTCCTCGTAGCCCAGGATGTCCATCTGTAGCGCCAGCTGTATAGCTGATGGGAAGTAAACTTGGAAATATTTGTTGATGACATTTAGAATGAATCCGGTCTGTGGCGATATTCCATTAAAACCGACATCTTGAAATAGAGAAAAGGTGGAGTTTGAGAGAGAGAGAGAGAGAGAGAGAGAGAGAGAGATTCAATTTTATTTAAATAATTCGCATGAGCGTAGGGGTTTTTAGCCATGGGAGGAAACACTACAAGCGGTGAACTGAAACCATACCACTTGATTCAATGACAGGCCTTGCAATCTAACGCGCACGCGTTAAACCATCCTGCCACCCAACCTCTGAATAATTATAAGGACCGTAGCTAGTCATGCATTGACGCCAATTTAGATGAAGTGTTGGAGATACTGCTACCCCACATTGGCCACGGTTGCTCTATCAAATGAAATGGGGTTTAATGTCCTACTGTTCTGCTCCTAAACTGCGCTAATGAAGACGGGCATACGCCATCTTCGGAGCAGAACAGTAGGAAGCTAAACCCCATTTCAGTTCATTTCACCAAATACATCAATAAGAAACTATATGCAAAGTTTTGTGTTTCTGGATCAAAGATATTTCACATAAACAGTGATCGAAAGTTGAGTAAATTCTTAACTAAAGTATGAAAATGCTTTGTGAACTTGGGGCCGGGTTTTCATTGGTTGTTACTGATCAAAAGGTACGATAAATTTACTTTCGGGACAAAAACGACCGGGAAACCCCGTGTAAACTATTTTCGGAAAACCTGATACCTATGTTGGTCAAAAGAATTATTGTATTTACCAAGATGGTTCATAAAGATGAGATGAACTTTGGTAATATTCACATCCGCGGAACATGGCCTGGTGACGGCGAGAAATATCAGCTGAAAGTAAACAAAGACGGGTGCTTGTTAGGCCAATTAATACGCCCACCTAAAGCAAATTCGTCCATACTAGCCATAATTGTCAACATTTCACACAATGTAAACACAAAAATAAGAACATTAGGAACTCTTTCTTACGTTTTATCAGCCAAATGTGAACGGCAAGATACGTCTACAAAACGCCCTCGAACTTTACCATTCTTCCTTATCCTGATGAACAATCCCATAAATTGTAACATTAACGTCAAGATAACATCATGGTATAAGATCCGAACTGGGGTACGATTCTACCTCAATCTGATTAAAACACAGATCCTATTTAGTTTCGTTCTTTTATAGTTCAAAATTTCGTTCTACTTGTCTTTACAACTCTAGGATCTGGAAGAGTTGTTATTTAACCCGCATTTGGATGATGTGATGGATTAGCCAATGAAACTGTCTGTTGCAACGAGTTTTTGGCGTGAGGTGCACGGAACAGTGGGTAACCCATTAGAAATATCAACGCTGATTGGTTAATCAAATGTCTGACGGCATACGGGCAAAAGCCTCTGGTATGACCTCTGGCGTGACCTTCCACTACAACCGATCAGAGGTTCATGTAGTGTAGGCCATCGAAAGTATAAAAAACTGAAACGAAATATAGATCTGTATTTTACCGTGAGTTCTTGTCGTGCTCTGCACGGAACTGTGAGTAAACCCCTAGAAACATCAACGCTGATTGATTTATCAATGTCTGACGTCATAGAGTCAAAAGCCGATCGTATGACCTCTGACGCGACCTCCCACTATAACCAGCTCAGACTGATTCTGCCCAAGACCCAACCAATATAGTATCCATCGAATAACTTTGCCCGGTGTCGTGTTTATAATATCTAGATATATATTGTAATAGTATAAGTCTTATATGATAATATACTCTTCAAAAAAGTAGGGGATATTCAGAAACATTACAAAACTGCGAAAATGCACTGCTGTTTTTATTAGAGGTAACCAGTGTATGTTAATAACAGGTCAATTGCCTACACATGAACATAAACAGTTCATATGGGTACATTTCACTCGCGAAGAGATACACTGTCAAAAGTGAAAATGGACGTTTTTGATTTTTGTCTTAATAATGAGTAATTGCTCCACCAATCCTCAAACATTCCGCAATTCGTCGTGGTATGCTCATAATCAACCATCCAATCACGATTTGAAGCAATCTGACCCACTCCTTGTGCAGTGCCACGGCCAATTCTTGCAGTGTTGTCGGTTGACGTTGACGTCGACGAACATGTCTCCCGATCATGTCCCAGACCTGGCGAGTTAATGGAGGCACAACACTCAGTCGTCGTGCATGCAAATGGCTACATGTAGCGGATTTCTAATCGTTGGGGTTTAACTCGAATTCCTGTAACTTGGTACAAGTTTACAGAAAGCTGATTGGCCGCTTGTCCTTGATTTCGCAGGACCTGTACAAATGTATCGATCCAGGGCTTGTGTAGTGGCTCTAGGACGACCTGAACGAGGTCTATCATCAACATTGTGTGTTTGTTGGTACCGGTTCCACAGTCTGCTGATCACAGATTGTGACACATTAAGCATGTTGGCTACTGCTTGCTGTGTAGAACCCATTTGAAGCATGCCAATAGCACGCAGACGTTCATCATGTTGAAGACGTCTCATTGCAAATTAAACTTAATACACTAAAGCAAAGATACGCTAAACAGTAAATCTTATGCAAGAACCGATAGGAAAGCAAATATGGATAGGATAACCCAGCACGCGGCAGTTTTCATCAACCCTTCCTTGAAGTGTCAAATTTGACAATGAACCCCTCCCACGTGTACGACGCTATTGCGTGTCGCACGTGCAGCTCAGTGGTTCTGTTGGGGCGATAAGTTCTTCATCTGTGAACATACTCTCAAAGCATGTCAAGTGTCCGTGACTATTTATCATATCACAACCTGCATAGGTATTTGTATTTCAATATCCCCTACTTTTTTTGAAGAATATTTATTCAATAAGGTAATCATATAACAATATTATATAATATTTTTCCAGGTCTATAATGAAATTAATATAGAGTTGAATAAGGTAAGTAATAATATTCATCAGAACAATATTTACCAGAACACCAGAGAAGATATTTTTACTGTTGAACTTAAAATCCATTGTTTTATCCGATGTACTGTATTGTCTTATTAACCCGTATTACTATCAGTGATTGGGAACAAACTTTGACCTTCAATAAGATGCTAGATAATCATTTAAAAGATAAACTCAGGATAATTAGATAACAGTAGCAGGTCTCTAGAGTGAGCAACTGAAATGAAATGGGGGTTTAACGTCCTACTGTTCTGCTCCGACTGGGCTAATAAAGACGGACATACGCCATACAGTGTGCTATAAGGGAAATTGTGCCCGGGCAGCGGCGCTACGGCCTACTCTTATAACCAATTCCAACTGCCATGGGATATTTTACGTGTACGTCAATCTATATACGGAACCTCGGTTTTTCGACCCATCCGAACGGCTAGACAGTTGTCCTTGTCAGGCCCTCGTCCTGCACCACTTTCTCGGCCAATGCAGCGATCGAACTCAGGGCCTCCAGGCTAGCGAGCCAGCGTCTTACCCAGGGCTCACGGTAACTGTTTCAATGTAGTTAGCAACAAATGTTTATCAATATTGATAATTTTCCAGTTTGATTCAAAAATACCACAAAATGGTTAGCACGTCTTATAGAGGCACAGGTCCTCCTCTAAACATTCTAAATAACCCAAGTATCATTGTTGAATAAATTATTACAGGGCTAGAAATGTTCGACCCTCTAGTTGTCGTCGACAGGCGATTTTTATTTCTGACAGGTAGTAAGTAAAACAGCCAACAATTAGAATAAGTCAACAACTAGAACAACTACAATAAGTCAACAACTAGAACAACCAGAATAAGTCAACAAGTAGAACAACTAGAATAATTCAACAACTAGAATAACTAGAATAAATCAACAACCAGAATAACTAAACAACTAGAATAACTAGTATAAGTGAACAACCAGAATAAGTGAACAACAAGAATAAGTCAACAACTAGAATGAGTCATCAACCAGATTAAGTCAACAACTAACATAAGTAAAAAAAAATAGGTCAATTAGGAAATTTGAAATTATCACTATTAATTTCCAGGGTGAAGAAGTGTGGATGGCCTGGCAAGGACAGTGTCTAGTCGTTGGTATGGGACGAAAACAGAGATTCCTTGTACACATTCGCGTATGTCCGTCTTTATTATCCCGGTCAGCGCAGAAAAATGGGACGTTAAACATTTCACAAGGCACTATAATTTAGTCTTGGGGGCTTACATCCAAGGAAATGAAATGAAATGGGGTTTAACGTCCTACTGTTCTGCTCCGAACTGGGCTAATGAAGACGGACATACGCCATACTGTGCTATGAGGGAAATTTTGCCCGGGCAGCGGCACTACGGCCTACTCGTATATCGAAATCCAACTGTCAAGGGATATTTTACGTGCACGCCAATGTGAACACGGGACTGGACAACTGTCCTTATCAGGCCCTCCGTCCTGCATCACTGACATCGGGGAACCACGCCGGAAAATCTGGATGAACTTTCTCGGCCAATGCAGGGATCGAACACCCGACGTCCATTTAGCCACCGTGATCTCCATCACTTAAGTAGGCAATCTGATTAAAAGACAGATCTATATTTCGTTTCGTATTTTTATACTTTCGATGGCCTACACTACTTGGAGATCTGACAAGTTGTACTCGAAGTTCGTGTCAGAGGCCATACGAGCGGCTTTTGACCCTATGATATCAGACATTGATTAATGAATCAGCGTTGACCAGAACGCGTGATATATAACAATTCTTCCAGATCCTAGTGTAGTAAAGACAAGTAAAACGAAATTTTGAACTATAAAAAACGAAACGAAATAGGATCTCTGTTTTAATAAGATTGAATGAATGACAAACGTTATTTTGCGAAGGACGTTTTCTTTGAAATGATAATCGTACATTATAATTATGATAGATGAAATATTGGACTCACGTGAAAATTTCATTGAAATGCCAATCGTACATTATAATTATGCTAGATGAAATATTGGAAACGCGTGACGTTTCGTTTCAGTTGCGATTTTTCTACTAGATGAAATATTGGACGATTTTATTTAAATGCACTTGCGGGATAGTGTCTGTATTTTGAGTTGTTTAAAGCTGTCTTGCATATACTGATATAGCCCTTGAGTAACGTGATTCCCCGGTTGTACGTGACAAGGAGTAGGGTCGCCTGTCCAACCTCGTGGGTTTTCTACGGGTCCTCCGGTTTCCTCCCACTGCTAAAGACCCATAGCATGCGAATTATTGAAATAAAATGGAACCATGTGTTAGTCCCGAAATGACCTAGTTTGTGTCGAGTGGACGTTAACCTCTCTCTCTCTCTCTCTCTCTCTCTCTCTCTCTCTCTTGAGAGTAATGTCCTTGGCCATTAAACCATACATAATTCGTCTAATTTGATATAAATTCTTATGAAATATATTTACAATGTTGTAAGGTTTAACAGAAAATACAAAAACACCTTTGCTGCTTTTCTAGTTTAATTGTAACATGGGGAAGTATCTCGTCCTCTCCTAATGTTTCTCCTTACACATCGTCTACACTGGCGAGAAGTACATGTTGGAGGCTCTGTTGGAGGTTCTGTTGGAGGCTCTGTTGGAGGTTCTGTTGGAGGCTCTGTTGGAGGCTCTGTTGGAGGTTCTGTTGGAGGCTCTGTTGGAGGTTCTGTTGGAGGCTCTGTTGGAGGTTCTGTTGGAGGCTCTGTTGGAGGCTCTGTTGGAGGTTCTGTTGGAGGCTCTGTTGGAGGTTCTGTTGGAGGCTCTGTTGGAGGTTCTGTTGGAGGCTCTGTTGGAGGCTCTGTTGGAGGTTCTGTTGGAGGCTCTGTTGGAGGTTCTGTTGGAGGCTCTGTTGGAGGTTCTGTTGGAGGCTCTGTTGGTTCGACATCAGCACCACATGTATCGCAGCATTCAGTTTTTTGAGCGTCACTATAACTAGGACAAGAGCTAACCGAGCAAGTGAACCTATTACCATCACCCTGTGGGCAATCATCTGAAAATCATAAACACACGGACTGGAATAAACATCCTTATAGCAGGCCCGTAACTAAAGGAGGGGGGTCTGAAATAAGTTTTCCCTAGATATACATTGTCCTTCAATTTTACAGCACCCCTGAAAACACCCCCCCCCCTCGTTGCTGTGAGGTAGTTACGGACCTGCCCTAGAGTTGACAGCGTTGGGGATGGTGGGACGACAAATAAATCAGCGTGTCGGTTTTCAATAAACGGGTTACAGTAAACACACCTAGAATTGTCATGGACCAACTTTCGGATGGGACGAAAACCCAAGGTCCCGTGTACGAAAAAGAACCTATGGCAATTGAAAATCGCCAAAGAGTAGGTGGTTGTTCAATCATATTATATACCACATGGCGTGTGTCGGTTTATGGGGGGGGGATGGCTGAATGGTTAGAACGTTCGCGCTGTATCATAAAGTCTGTCATTGAGTCAACTGGCGTGGTTTCTATTCCCCGGTTGTACGTGACAAGGAGTAAGATCGCAACCTCGTGGGTTTTCTCCGGGTCATCCGGTTTCCCCCCACTGCTAAAGAAATAAAGTGTTAGTCCCAAAATGACCTAGTTTGTGCCGAGTGGACGTTAAACCCCATTTCTCTCTGTCTCTCTCGTGCCAGTTTACATTACTATTGTCGTGTATGGTCTTCAAAACCAATCTATTCTGTCGAATTTGAGACTCATATTGGCGTTTCCTTCGGTCAAGGTATATATAAGCATTATATTGAAATACCCTTTGGTCGAAACATAAGTCAACATGTGAAGTCATTGTCCACTAAAACATATATATCATTACACTACACACCTTTATAGGGGACTTTATCAATATCAATGTCCCACCAAAATGAGTCCCATTTTGAATCTGCTCCCCCTCTAGCGGGGGGACCGTCAGTTTTGGGAGGGATACCCAAGCTCATTTCATTTAGTAAGTCGAAGTCTTACAGAAACACTTTCAACCCGAATCCCCCGAGAATTGTGCACCAACAACAGCCCCTAATGAGGATATCAATATACGCTATTGTTTTACATTAGACTGGGATATTGTTTTATAGGAGAGAGGGATAATGTTTTATAGGAGAGAGGGGTATTGTTCTACAGGTGAGAGGGATATTGTTTTATAGGAGAGAGGGGTATTGTTCTACAGGAGAGAGGGGTATTGTTCTACGGGAGAGAGGGGTATTGTTCTACGGGAGAGAGAGGTATTGTTCTACGAGAGAGAGGGGTATTGTTCTACAGGAGAGAGGGGTATTGTTCTACAGGAGAGAGGGGTATTGTTCTATAGGAGAGAGGGGTATTGTTTTATAGCAGGGAGAGATATTGTTTGATAGGAGAGGAGGGTATTATATAGGAGAGAGGAGTATTGTTTTATAGGAGAGGGAGGGGAATATCGTATTGTTTTATAGGAGAGGAGGGTTCTATATGGGAGAGAAGAGGGTTGAGGGTATTATAATTGGTTTATTATGAAAACAATCAGCTTACCCTTTGTGACTGGAGCTTCACTACTAGAAACACAACTTCCACCTTGACACCACTATAAATAAATGGAACGAGAAGGCAAAATGTGAACAGGTGCGCTTTAACAACTAAGGTTTGTGATTGAGTCAAGTGGCGTGATTTCGATCCCACCATGACACCACTATAAATAAAAAGAACAAAACGGCAAAATGTAAACAGGTGCGCTTTAGACCATAAGGTTTGTCATTGAGTCAAGTGGAGTGGTTTCCATCCCACTCTTGTACGTGACACGAGTAAGGTCGCCTGTTCACTCTTCAGTATTCCTCCCATTACTAAAAGCCCCTCCACGCAAACGCATTATTGAAATAAAATAATATGTTAGATCCGAAATAGTTTATGTCGAGTGGACGTTAAACCCTCCCACTTTCGCAAAAATTAATCTGAATGTTATACAATTTGATTTTGTGTTTCTCTTAATATATAATACCATCTTCATTAGCCGAGACGGACTAGTTCAATAGGACGGGGGTCACGGTGGCTAAGTGGGTAATTAGACGCTGGCTCGCTAGCTTAGAGCTCGGGTGTTAGATCTCTGCATTGGCCGAGAAAGTTCATCCAGATTTTCCGGCGTGGTTTCCCCCTTGTCAGTGATGCAGGACGGAGGGCCAGACAAGGACAGCTGTCTAGTGATTCGAATGGTACGAAAAAAAGAGGTCCCGTGTACACATTTGGTGCACGCAAAAGATCCCTAGACAGTTGGAATTCGATATAAGAGTAGGCCGTAGTGCCGCTGTCCGGGAAAAATTTCCCCCATAGCACACTGTATGGCATATGCCCGTCTTCATAACCCCTTTTCGGAGCAGAACAGTAGGACGTTAAACCCCATTTCATTTCATTTCATTTCCAATAGGACGATTAACCCATTTCATTTTCGTTTCATTTCTTCACAAATAATTTGTAAATTTATGAACACTTCAGGCCCCGGACCGTCAAAATGAAAAGATGTGGGGTTTCGCACCCCCTCGACCCCCACCCTCCACCCGGATCAGCATTTCATTTTCGTTTCATTTCTTAACAAATAATTTGTAAATTTATGACTTACCTTCTGATTACCACAGGAAGTGAACTCCTGGGCTGCAATCGGCCTACATACGTTAGAGGAAGAGGGATCAAAACATAACAGCCTCTGACACATCAAGTCAAATCCATAATTACTTAATTGTGCACCCTGTAATATTTGATAAAATAGGAGTTTCAAAAATAGAGCTACGGTGCTGAAAGCGTTAAAACCAGTGTGCCGCGAGATCTTCCTAAGTGTGCTGCGAAATTCTGAACGGCACACTAAGAAAATTTCTCACTAAAGAAGCCAGCTACTTGACTTATTTAGTTTGAGTCATTCTATGTGTTTATGACTAGCTTGTGTCTACGGTTGTATGCCGTCTATGAATTGCCATGTTTTCAATTGGCAAAATTCAAATATTTTTCAGCCAGGTGTGCCGCTATTGTATCATGAGTTCGAAGGTGTTCCGGTGGCCAAAAAAAGATTGAGAACCACTGAACTGAGGTGGCCCATTGGGTGTGTCGTTAGCTTACGAACTAGGAAGGGAGTTGCATTGTCTCACGTGGGTAACACGTGTTCTCTCCCCGTTCAATGGGATATCCCGACGTGGTTTCCACTTGTCAGTGGTGCAGGGTGGAGGGCCTGGCAAGGAATAACGTATAGACTTTAAGGGTGCTAAAGCCAAGGTCACGTGTGCAGATTGGCTTGAAAATAAAAACATCCTGTCTGCCCGTCTTCATTAGCCCAGTCGATACAGAACAGAAGGACGTTAAACCCCATTTCATTTCATTTACCAACTGGGACGTCCCGGCATGTCAGTTGTACAGGGCAAAGGGTCTGGCAAGGTTCCATACTAAACTTACAATGTCTGTCTACATAAAGCTCCACTTGAAAACAGACACTAAGCTAGCTGACCACCACATTAATTTCTAAATCCACGATTTTAGTCGAAAACACTAAGTATACTTCCAGAATTTTGAGAAGTATTTATTCCGCTTCGATTTAATAAAATTGAAAAAGTTTATTTAGTCTTTGTGTGTATGACAGATGTGAAACCGCATTACAAAATAGTATACTTAATTTTAGATATGGCCGCCATTCAGGACAGTGATCTATTTTCGAAGTAGCTAGTTCTCTGTGTGCGGCATGGCAAGGTACAATTCAGATCCCGAGTTCGTTCACAAAGCATTGTCAGACTTAAGTTAAGAATTTACTCAACTTTCAATCGCTGTTTATGAGAAATATCTTTGGTCCAAAAACAAAAAAATATTGCATATAGTTTCTTTTTGATGTATGTAAAACATTAAAACAACAAAAGTTTTATAAAGGGCTATATTTTAATTATATTAAGGCGAACAGTTTTGAGTAAATTCTTAACTTAAGTCTGAGAATGTTTTGAGTAAATTCTTAACTTAAGTCTGAGAATGTTTTGAGTAAATTCTTAACTTAAGTTAAGTGAACTCGGAGTCTGGTCGGGACATAGCAGAATCTTTGATAGTTGGAATTCAAAATAAGATAAATTTGAAGCGCCCATGAACCTTTTAACTGAACGAATTTCTATGATACTAATAAAACCAAGAACAAGATGAGTAGCGGTTATGCCCCCGTCCGACCGGGTTGGCTCCTTACTGAACTGCTGCGATCGTACGGCAACCAGAAAATGCACAAGGTCGCCGGCATATATATGTGAACACAACGCGAGAAAATGTCCCAAAAAATTACAAACTTGAAAAAAGTCGCTTTCTCACAGCTTTTCATGTCAGATCGCAGAACCTTGGCGTTTGTTTTGAACATGCTCAAAAGAAACGCCGTGATTCGGTGATCATTGGCGACCATGGAGACCACAGCACGATTTCTGGCGTTTCAACCATGCTTTTACCACGCTTATGGCGATCTTGACGCGCTCCGAAACCATTTTCCGTCGCCGTAGCAGCACAGTAAGGACGCCAACCCGGTCTGACGGGGGTATTCGGGCCCAGCTCCTAATCCAAAGGTATGAATTTACACTCTTGATAGATAACTTACTCTACAGAAATATGATCCCGGATTACCAAAATAAAGCTTGCATTGTTCATCGGCATCAAGGAACTGACCAGCTAATTCTGATGTTACTAGCGCGGCCTGGTTGTTGTCATCAGATCGCAAACAACCGAAACTGAAAAACAAGAAAAGAAATGAAATGAAATGGGGTTTAACGTCCTACTGTTCTGCTCTGAACTGGGTTAATGAAGACGGGCATACGCCATACAGTGTATCAAAATTCAAAGTCCGTACAGGGTTAGATCTAATTATTAAGACCACTTTCAGATTTGGTCAAAGGTCACGAGATGTAAACAAGGCTAGCGCCAACTCTAACCTATACAAAAGCCCAACCTACAATCTGGTCAACAAGCACGTGCTCTTACCCTATTGACATCTCGGCGACCTTGACCAAATGTGCAGGTGGTCTTAATAATTAGATCTAACCGTCCCTACAGTGGCGAAAGAAACAAGCACATTGCCAAGTTTCATCTCGATCGTACAGAAATTGGCGGAGTCTTAGGCTTTTTCGAATAAAAATGAACTGAAACGAGGTTTAACGTACTGACAGTTCAGCTCCTATACTGGGCTAATGAAGACGGGCTTACGCCATACGATGTGCTATGAAAGAAATTTTGCTCGAACGTGGCCAAAGAGAGAGAGAGAGAGGGGGAGAGAGAGAGAGAGAGAGAGAGAGAGAGAGAGAGAGAGAGGGAGGATTTAACGTCCACTCGACACAAACTAGGTCATTACAGGACTAACATATGGTTTAATTTTATTTTAATAATTCGCTTGCGCGTAGGGGTCTTTAGCAGTGGGAGGAAACCGGAGGACCCGGAGCGTGGCCAAAGGCGTTTTACAATAAATAAATGGTAATGCAAATACTGAGACTAAGTAAAATAATCACAAATAAAATATGGACAAATATTAAAAATAAAAAAATGGCTGGATATTAGTGTGGTTAAAATGAAACAGACACTTTTAAGACTTATTTTAAAACTTGATAACGAACTGTTCCCTCGAAATAAATATGACTGTCTACTTCGTACTTTTAGGGTCCAAATCGCAAAGACTCTTTTATAAGATTGGCATTATTCTTCTTATCTAGCCCATCTATTTTTTAAATGCAGGTACGAAGACACCAGGTTTAGTAGCTGCAATATTGTAACAGCTTCTTGTCTTGTTCGCCGCTACAATTAATACAGCCTTCAAGGCTTTGCGCAAGTAAAAATAGCTTCAAATGCAAACTTTGCAACACATATCATCACAGTTTGCATGGAAATAAGTAATTATGTTAAAAACAGTGACGAGTGGATCACTAATATAGTTACCGAACAGTTTTTTTTACAGTTTCGAGGCAACGTGAAATCAAGTGAGTGTTCTAATCCCGGCCATATCGCGTAGGCGTTGGATTAATCAAATCAATTATGCGGTAAGGCTTCACCTTTATTTCAATGGGACTTGATTTATTGTATGTTAAGATGTGCAGTATAGTCTGGGGTCAGTTTCATTGGAAGTTATAGGCCAGTAACGTCTTTGTCATCACATGAAGACAAAACTTGCTCAAGGGAAGTCCTTAGAACGATCCATTACTGTGGCTGCTGCAAGACCGAAGACATCAGTAGTGGAGCCTAGGGGTCCTAGCTAGACTATTCCACTTATGAGGTCCCTCCCAACCCCCACCCTCAAAATCAGAGGATGATAAACGCGTGTGTTATAGATATTTAAGAAACCAGTGCGTGTGTGCCATTGTGTCAACATTATTATACATCTTGGCCGGAGTCTCCCTAGATCTTGAGATCCTAGGCTTAAGCCTTCTGATGAATTACTAGTAACTATAGTGGTGAAGTAACGTCGTTGAGCGAACTATCAGTGCCGGTGTGTGTTATTACAGACAATTCCCAAGATGCATTGCGCGTCGCTTTGTTTCTATGGGCCGTAATGCGAGTCGCCACTCTGTGTATTTTTACTCTGGGGTACTTGTAACTATAGTGATGACGTACTAGTAACTATGGTGATGACATACTAGTAACTAATGTGATGGCGTATTAGTATCTATGGTGATGAAGTACTAGTAACTATGGTGATGACGTACTAGTAACTAAAGTGATGGCGTATTAGTATCTATGGTGATGAAGTACTAGTAACTATGAAAGAAAGGTAATATACTTACAAATCTGAATACAGTGTTAAATTTTGAACAGAGCATTCCGAAAACTTCCATGGATTATTTTTCGTCCCATCAGTTGGAAAAAAAGCCGAAGGCGCCATAACAAATCGATCATTTACCTCACACGCCCCTTGTCCTAAATCGTGGTGGCCACCGGCACTACAATGAAATGAAAGGAAATTGGGTTTAACGACCTGTTCTGTTCCTACTGGGCTAATAAAATGAAATGGGGCACTATAATTTAGTCTTGGGGGCTTACATCCAAGGAAATGAAATGAAATGGGGTTTAACGTCCTACTGTTCTGCTCCTAAACTGGGCTAATGAAGACGGGCATACGCCATACAGTGTGCTATGAAGGAAATTTTGCCCGGGCAGCGGCACTATGGACTAATCTTATATCGAATTCCAAATGTCAAGAGATCTTTTACGTGCACGTCAATGTGTACACGGGGCCTCGGTTTTTCGCCCCATCCGAACGACTAGACAGCAGTCCTTGTCAAACCCTCCGTCATGCATCACTGATAAGGGAGAAACACTTGAGACAATGGATGTAAAAGAAAAAAAAAACAATGAAAAACTTATTAAAAGTTCTTAATTAATTTTTAAATTCAATATCATGTGCCCCCCCCCCCTTTCCATGATGTCCTAAGCGCGTGTTTAATAGTTAATCCAGCCCTGTTTCAATGATACACGGAGACGTCATATGTGGATTGTGCGTTAGGGTTAGGATAAGGCTTAGGCTAGCCCTGTTTACATCTCAAGACTTTGACGAAATCTGCAGGTTCTAACCCTAACTCACAATCCACATATGAAGTCGTATATGTTAATATGTGCTGGCCCGTCTCCGATCTAGAGTTCCCCATGAGACAATGGGGGTACTCGATTGAACGTTCCGGAATTGAATTCTCTCAATCACAAAAATTGTGACAATCGAGTGAAAAGGTGGATTTCGAGCTACAACGCATGCGTCGACTGAGTAAGTAAATATCTCAACCAACCATGCAGCCGAAACATATTGGTTGTGTTTAATTACGTCACGATTCTACTCACACCACCTCCATTGTCGGGACTGACAGAACTGTGACAGGACTGTGACAGAACTGAATTCCGCTTTACTCGATTGCAATTCTGTCAATTCGGGATGTTCTGGACTGAACTGTGAATCGAGCATCCCCATTGTGACGAATAGCCGAATCAGGTCAAACGAATATATTTGTTAGAATTTGACATGCCTACTAACCTGTGACCTAGTTCATGTGCAGCGACCAGTCCTGTTCTTCCACCATTATTATCTTCCACAATCGAAAAAGAATACGAAGAACACATTCCCCTCTCCCAAGCAACACCTACAAAATAAATAAATAAATAAATAACAATACAATACAATACAATACAATACAATACAATACAATACAATACAATACAATACAATACAATCAATCAATTAATCAATCAATAAATAAAATCGACATGAACATCTGACTATTTTCACTATGTTTCAGAACCGTGTGAAACTGATAAGATTTCTGGCTATTTTCCTAACATCCATGATCGGTAGGACCAGGGGTAGAGGAGCATGGTGAGGGGAGGGGGGAGGGGGCCGGGGTGGGGTTACAAACAGATTATGTTGTACATTGAAAATACAGATCTATATTTCCTATAGATTTTTTTATACTTTCGATGGCCTCTGCAACATGAAAATCTGGCAGGTTGTACTGGAAGGTCGCATCAGGGGTCGTACGAGCGTTTTTTGACCCTATGACGTCAGACATTGATTAATCAATCAGCGTTGACGTTTCTAGTGGTTTACCCATAGTTCTGTGCATGGTTAGTGCGTATGCGTTGCATCACAAGGTTTGTCATTGAGTCAGCTGGCGTGGTTTCGATTCTCCAGTTGTACGTGACAAGGAGTAGGGACGCCCGTCCAACCTCGTAAGTTTTCTCCGGTTCCTGCGGTTTCCTCCCACTGCTAAAGACCCTTACGCGCAACCATGTCTCTCTCTCTCTCTCTCTCTCTCTCTCTCTCTCTCTCTCTCTCTTCATTTAATTCACTTACCGACAACTCCTGTCGAGGTGGATGTTCCTAGCTGGTCACTGTAAAAAAAAATATAAAAAAAAGCTCACGAAAATATACAAATTAAAATTATGAATGAATATAAATACTTTTGCCAAAAATATTTGGCGATAAAAATAATTTACAGAATGTAGCCATTGTCATTGTATCTATACTGAGATAGTGCGAGCTAGTTATAGTGGGAGGTCGCGTCAGAGGTCATACAGTGGCTTTTGACCCTATGACGTCAGGCACTGATTAATCAATCAGCGTTGATGTTTCTAGGGATTTACCCACAGTTCCGTGCAGAGCACGGCAAGAACTCACGGTAACAGACTGTTTCAGACATTTGATTAACCAATCAGGGTTGATGTTTATAGTGGGTTACCCACAGTTCCGTGCAACTCACGCCAAAAACTCGCCGTAACAAACCGTTTTATTGGCTAATCCCTCACATCATCCAGAACGCGGGTTAAAAAACAACTCTTCCAGATCTCAGTGTAATAAAGACAAGTAAAACTAAATTTTGAACTATAAAAAACGAAACGAAATAGGACCTGTGCTTTAATCAGATTACAAATTTTAGCTACCCAATTTGTATTATTTAGAAGTTATGACTATTGCAATTGAGTTATCTGACTTTGTCCTTACATTGTAGAGGGGGTTGGATGGCCAAATGGTTAACGCGTAGGCGGTGTATCATAAGGTCTGACATTGAGTCAACTGGCGTGGTTTCGATTCCCCGGTTGTACGTGACGGAGTAGGGTCGCCTGTCCAACCTCGTGGGTTTTCTCCGGGTCCTCCGGTTTCCTCCCACTGCTAAAGACCCCTACGTGCAAGCAAATTATTGAAATATAATTGAACCATGTGTTAGTCCCGAAATGACCTAGTTTGTGTCAATTGGACGTAAAACTCGACTTCCCACTCTCCCTTACATTTTAGCCACGGTGGCTCAGTGGGTAGGACGTTGGTTCGCTAACCTGGAGGTGCCGTAATCGAACTCTGCGTTGGCCGAGAATGGTCACCGGGATTTCAGTGTTGCAGGACAGACAACCTGCTAAGTGACATCATATAGGCATTCGGATGGGACGAAAACCTGAGGTCCCTGGTACACATCAGCCTGCACTTAAAGGGACCCTTGATCGTTGAATTCGATATAAGAGAAGACCTTAATGACGCGGTTCTGTCAAAATTGCTCTCATCATAGCCCACTGTATGGCCGTCTTTATTAGCCCAGTCGGTGCAGAACAGTTGGACTTTAAACCCTGTTTCATTTGTTCTTACTTTGTGAACCACATAGCATGGTCAAATGGAGGTAGATCACCTCTGTTGCTGTTCGCCCATGTTCTAAATTGGTTAAGACCGTCAATATATTGAACCACACCATCTACATTGTTATCTTGGTTGTAAGGCGCATCAGCCGCATTCTGCAAAAATAAACAGGTTTTATATCAATCTCGTTGAAATACAGATCTATATTTCGTTTCGTTTTTTTTATACTTTCGATGGCCTGCACTGGAGAACGCTAGATAGGAAACGATCCTGTACATGACCTCATAATGTGGATTGTGCGTTAGGATTAGGATTAGCGTTAGGCTTGGTCCAAGGTTAGGGTTAGGGTTAGCGCTAGCCCTGTTTACATCTCGAGAATTTGACGAAATCTGCAGGTACTAACACTGCTAAAGACCCCTATGCGCAAGTGAATTATTGAACCTTATGTTGGTCCCCGAAATGAACTAGTTTATGTCGAGTGGACTTTACTCTCTCTCTCTCTCCCTCTCCCTCTCTATCCCTCTCCCTCTCTCTCTCTCTCTCTCTGTGAAATACCCGAACAGCCAAGGTCTGCTTAGTCCATTCTACACATTGTTTTAAAGGACAATATTGGTGTCAGTCATTATCACATATGTGACATTAAAGGACAATATTGGTGTCAGTCATTATCACGGGCGAGTTTCTGCTCACTAATAATTCCTTAGAAGACCAAAAGTTGTTATATGAGACTGTGGGAGGATATCTGACAATTCAAAAAAATAATTGACTGTCACTAGAAAAAATAGAAAAAGTTCGTGCATTGCAAAGTTTTTATGAAGTTTAGAATGAATAAAAACAAGGGAATGTACAGGCCATTTCTATTTTCTCGTTTTCCCTTATCTAGTGGCATTCAATTACTTTTTTTGAATTATCAGATATCCTCTCAAAGCCTCACATAAAGATTTTTGGTCTTCGAAGGAATTTATTAGTGAGCAGAAATTCGCCCGTGAATCTGTTATCACTCGTCACTTCAGTCAGTTATATAGAAGGATAACTCTTGTGTTCCTTTTGCGTTCGTCACTTCCCTTTCTTGAAAGCTTCACAACGCATCTTTCGTCGCAATGATTTCTGTATTAAAATTATATTTGGAACGTATGTATTTAATCAATTCTATCACATATGTGATAATGACTGACACCAATAATTGTCCTTTAAATTAGTATATTTTTGGCCGTTGTGAATCAGTCATTACTAATTACTTCCGCATTGCCTGGTACGATGTGTTTTTCTCTGTTCATTACAATGTGGCTCGAAACCATAGAGTGCACTACGCGGGTATTGATTTAAAATGTTCAATGTGTCATAAAATATTGGATAATAGGCTCACATATTTTCACGAGAAGAGAACCTTATTGAATTCTAATTCGAATATTATGAAAAATATTGAATTTGAATTTTAGCCAGGTAATTTAAAATACTTACATTGGTAATAACGATTCCAGCGCCCTCTAGTCTATAAACCAAACTTGGTTCAAAGGCGGTGACTGTGTCGAAACGCGCAGCCATCTGTAAATATCAAAAATGAAATGAAATGGGGTTTAACGTCTACTGTTCTGCTCCAACTGGGTTAATGAAGACAGGCATACGCCATACAGTGTGCTCTGAGGGAAATTTTGCCCATACAGCGTGCTATGAGGGAAATGTTGCCCGGACAGCGGCACTGTGTCCTACTCTTATATCGAATTCAAACTGCCAAAGGATCCTTTACGTGCACACCAATGTATACACGAGACCTCGGTTTTTCGTCCCATCCGAACGACTAGACAGCTGTTCTCATCAGACCCTCCGTGCTGCATCACTGACAAGGCGATCTATAAATATCAATAATTTGTGTTATGTCATTACTAGAAACTTTTCGTGAAACGAGAAATGAAATGGGTTTTATCGTTGTATTTTTCTGCTACGATTGGGAGAATGATGAAGGGCGTACGCCATGCTGTGTGCTATGAGGGAAAGTTTGCCCGGAGAATGAAGACGGATAGACGTTGCTATGTCCACTATGTCTTCTACCTACTCATTGTTGTGTCCCGACTGTCACGTTCTTTTACGTGTTCGGCAAAGTGTACGCGAGGCCTCGCTCGGTTTTTCTTCCCATCCCAACGACTAGACACTGTTTCTTGCCATGCCCTCCATCTTACATCGTGCATCACTGATATGGGGAAACTAGGTGGCATGGTTTCCATTCCCGCGTATTGGGTAGTCTTTCTAACCTCGTGGGTTTTCTTCTCGTCCTTTGGATATCTCCTACTGCTAAGGACCTCTCTCTCTCTCTCTCTCTCTCTCTCTCTCTCTCTCTCTCTCTCCCTCCCTCCCTCTCTCCCTCTCTCTCTCTCTCTCTCTCTATTAGTCTGACATAAAGGGTCAACACTTACCGATAGAAGTATTAAAGCATAGTATATCTTCAATTCAGAGTTTGCCAGAGTGTCATCATTGCCATGTCTAGCCAAAAACCTACAATTTAAAATATAAGTGATTTGACTGCAAGACACAATTCGGATTTATATCAAAGTCTGGTTCTTTACTCTATCTTGGTCTATAGAGAGACTGGACAACTTGCTCTAAATGACGTCAGACTAGTTCGTATGTCACGGGGTGTTACCTGACTCGGCAAACCTCAGCACTATTTTCAAGAACCCGGATTACCAACGGCGTTGCCCATGACTACGCCTTTGAAAAAAATGTTTTATCATACAAATATTTTCAAAGTCTGAAGCTGTTTTTCTTTCAAGTTTATCCGATGTTGTTCAAACCAGGACAACTTTGCACTGAAAATTCTAAACACGCTTCGAACGACGCAATTTTGATAATTTCTTTTTAAAAGCGGCAAGTTTCCTAATAAGTAAACCGCTGCCGCATCGAAATGGTATAGGCGTAGGTACATGTACATATCACTTACCGCCAGGGGGGTTGGATGGCTGAATGGTTAGCGCGCGCGCTGTATCATAAAGTCTGTCATTGAGTCGACTGGTGTGGTTTCGAATCCCCGGTTGTACGTGGCAAGGAGTTGGGTCGCCTGTCCAACCTCGTGGGTTTTCTCCGGGTCCTCCGGTTTCCTCCCACTGCTAAAGACCCCTACGCGCAAGCGAATTATGTAAATAAAATTAAACCATATGTTAGTCCCGAAATGACCTAGTTTGTGTCGAGTGGACGTTAAACCCCATTTCTCTCTCTCTCACACTTACTGCCATACAGCCGAGGCTAGATGTAGAGTAACGGAATCTGCCGAGGTTTGCCGCGTGGTATGTCACGGTGCTATCTGACAGGTTTTGATGGGCAAGAGTTTTGATCCGTTGTACACAGTGGGTTTAACGTCCACTCGACACAAACCAGGCCATTTCGGGACTGACATATGGTTTAATTTTATTTCAATAATTCACTTGCGTGTAGGGGGGGGGGGCAGCAGAGGGGTGAAACCGGGGGACCCGAAGAAAACCCACGACGTTGGAAAGGCGACCCTACTCCTTGTCACGTATAATCGTGGAATCGAAACCACGCCACTTGACTCAACGACAGACCTTCTGATTCAAGGCGCACGCGTCAACCAATCTCCCCCCCCCCCCCCCCGTTAACAATAGAAGATGAGTACTGCCCAGGTGAAATTACCCAGCTTCAGTATACTAAATAGAAATTTAAATGATGGTAAAGGCCAGTCTATATCATTCTAAATAGAGAGGTGTGGTGGCCCAGTGAATAAGAGGCTGGCTCGCTAACCTGTTGGTTCCGTGTTCGATCCCTGCGTTGGCCAAGAAAGTTCATCAGGGATTTCCGGCGTAGCTCCCCTTTGTCAGTGGTGCAGGACAGGGGGCATGACAAGGGAAACGTATAGTTGTTCAGATGGGACGAAAACCTCGGGTCCCGTGTGCACATTGGTGTCCACGTAAAAGATCCTTTGGCAGATGGAATTCGATATTAGAGTAGGTCGTAGTGCTGTCCGGGCAAAATTTCATCCGTTATAATGCACTTTGGAGGAAACCGGAGGACACGGAGAAAACCAACGAGATTAGACAGCACCGCCCCTCTGCCCTATTGTAGTCTTAAACCTAGTCAAAGTTTTGGTCTGTTATAATTTTCATGTACTTACTTTTGTGAGTTGGGAAGAAACTCTAAGAACCCGGAGGAAACCCACGAAGTTAGGCAGGATTGTTATAATTTATTTACTTTTGTGCGTTGGGAAGAAACTCTAAGAACCCGGAGGAAACCCACGGGGTTAGGCAGGATTGTAATAATTTACTTACTTTTCTTTGACAGAATAATCAGTGACAACAAGCATCTCTACTGTATTAATTGTGGCCTGTCTCTTGACACGATTCTTGTTTCTCCGTTTCTTTTTCTTGAGGTATCTGTTGAGTTTCTCTTCTAATTCTTAAAGATATATTATGGGAGATTAGATAAAGAGCTGTCAGTTCTCACTATAATAGTTAAAAACTAGATAATGTAAAGGCAATTTGCTGAAAATTTCAGGCAAATTGATCCACTATGAACCGAGAATTAAGCGATTGAAATTTCGTCCTAGCCTCGATAATCATTATTAAATTCTGTATGATAACAAACATAGTCTCGATCATCCATTTCATGATTAAATTGTGAATGGAAGTCAAGCAGCAAATTGGATCATAACCCAGTTAATATCGCAGGCTAGTGATGCCATCGAGAGTTGATTATGGTCTGGATAAGTTAATTAATTAAAATTTCTAATAAATAATTTAGACAACATGTCAGGCCTAAAGAAAGACCTGCGATAGGCAGATTTAGCTCTTGCTAATGAACGAAAATAAAATAGCGCAACTGTACAAAATTTTTGATATGTAAATAATTAAAGGAGATGTCCCACCTCTGGCTATATTCTATCCATACTTAAAGGAGATGGACCAACCATGCCTATATTATTCTGTCCTTACTTAAAAGAGATGGTCCACCTCTAGCTATATTCTAGCCATAATTAAAGGAGATGGCCCACCAATGTCTATATTCTAGCGATACTTAAAGGAGGTGGTCCACCTCTGGCTATATTCGAGGGGGGTTAACGCCCACTCGACACAAACTAGGTCATTTCGGGACCAACATATGGTTTTAATTTTATTTCATTAATTCGCTTGCGCGTAGGGCTCTTTAGCAGTGGTGGGAAACCGGAGGACCCGGAGAAAGCCCACGAGGTCGGACAGGCGACCATACTCCTTGTCATGTACAACCGAGGAATCGAAACCCCGCTAGATGACTCAATGACAGACTTTATGATACAGCTCGCATACGCTAACCATTCAGCCACCCGACCCCCTATTATATGTGTTACATATAAGTGAAATGAATTGAAATGGGGTTTAACGTCCTACTGTTTTGCTCCGAACTGGGCTAATGAAGACGGGCATACGCCATACAGTGTGCTATGAGGGAAATTATGCCCGGACAGCGGCACTACGGCCTACTTTTATATCGAATTCCATCTGTCAAGGGATCTTTTACGTGCACGCCAATGTGTACACGGGACCTCGGTTTTTCGTCTCATCCGAATGACTAGACAGCTGTCCTTGTCAGTCGCTCCGTCCTGCATCACTGACAAGGGGAAACCACACCGGAAAAGTTACATTTTAAGCATGTACCGTTTAGACTATTGGGATTGATACGAATAGTAAACTTCAATGAGTCTGGTGGGGTTGGATGGCCGAATGATTAGCACGTGCGTGCTGTATCATAAGGCCTGTCATTGAGTCAACTGGCGTGGTTTCGAATCCCTGGTTGTACGTGACAAGGATTAGGGTCGCCTGTCCAACCTCGTGGGTTTTCTCCGGGTCCTCAGGTTTCCTCCCACTGCTAAAGACCCCTACGCGCAAGCGAATTATCGAAATAAAATTGAACCATATGTTAGTCCCGAAATGACCTAGTTTGTGTCGAGTGAATGTTAAACCCCATCTCTCTCCATCTCTCTCTCTCTCTCTCTCTTTCAATGAGTCTGCATACCTGCGGTCAGTGGGACCTGGTCGTCTCCATAGTGGATGTTATCTTCACTTGTGAGGCGATGTTTACCCTTTCCTACCCCTTTCAAGTTAACAGAGTTACCGTTAACAACTGTATTTCCAACCTGAAATTACAGTATGTACAAAATCCAACATGGAGGGGATGAATTTCGTAATGGGGATCAAAACTATTGAGCAATATCCATATAAAACTGTTCATACAGAGAGAAAATAGGGTTTAACGTCCACTCGACAAAAACTAGATCATTTCGGGACTAACATATGGTTCAATTTTATTTCATTAATTCGCTTGGAGGGGTTTTAGCAGTAGGAGAAAACCGAAAGACCCGGAGAAAACCCACGAGGCTGGACGTGACCCTACTCCTTGTCACGTTCAACCGGGAAATCGAAACCACGCCAGTTGAAGCGCTCCCCAAGTATCTTAAAGTAACTATTGGAGTATAAAATACACAGCATCACATTCTGTTTGGCCAGGAACGGGTCCTCAAGAGGTGAAATGAAACGAAATGAAATGGGGTTTAACGTCCTGTTGTTCTGCTTCGACTTGGCTAATGAAGACGGACCTACACCGGTTGAACGTGACAAAGAGTAAGGTCACCTGTCCATCCTCGTGGGTTTACGACGGGTCCTCCGGTTTCCTCCCACTGCTAAAAAGACTCCTACGCACACAGAATTAAATAAAATTGAACCATGCGTTAGTCCCGAAATAACCGAGTCTGTGTCGAGTGGACGTTAAACCCCATTTCTCTCTCTCTACTGTAAGATAGACACAGGCGTACTCACCAACTCTATATAGCCTCCAATTTCTGATACCATCATAGGCGTTCCTGTTGCTTCATTAATATAGATAGCACTTTTCTATTAAAAAAAGGTAATTATCAACATAATTTAATACATTACTTCTATTACAACAATCATCAATATATATCATCAATATATATATATCAGTGTATGCACAACCCTTCTATACCATCAATATATACACACCCTTCTATACCATCAATATATATACACCCCTTCTATATCATCAATATATACACGCCCTTCTATATCATCAATATATACACCCCTTCTATATCATCAATATATACACCCCTTCTATAACATCAATATATACACACCCCTTCTATAACATCAATATATACACACCCCTTCTATACCATCAATATATACACACCCGTCTATACCATCAATATATATACACCCCTTCTATACCATCAATATATACACGCCCTTCTTTACCATCAATATATACAACCCTTCTATACCATCAATATATACACAACCTTCTATACCATCAATACATACACAACCTTCTTTACCATCAATATATACAACCCTTCTATACCATCAATATATACACAACCTTCTATAACATCAATATATACACACCCTTCTATAACATCATTATATACACACACACCCCTCTATACCATCAATATATACACACACCCCTCTATACCATCAATATATACACACACCCTTCTATACTATCAATATATACACCCCTTCTATATCACCAATATATACACCCCTTCTATAACATCAATATATACACACCCTTCTATACCATCAATAAACACGCCCCTTCTATACAATCAATATATACACCCCTTCTATAACATCAATATACACACCCCTTCTATAACATCAATATACACACCCTTTTCTATAACAAATATTAATACCCTAGTTTTCTAATTTTAAATACGTAAACAATAAGATACACCTACTACGTGTAAATGCCTAAACGTTGAGATACATACCACTTTTCTATTTTGAAATGCATAAACATTGAGAATTTGAAAATTAAACTATTGATAAATGAAAATTTAACTATTGATAAATGCACCACTTTTCTAATTTATGATTCATGATACATAGTCAGAGCATTAAATATTTCCCTTGTTTAGTATCATCGCTGTAAATATAATTTACTAATATCCAAAAAAAACCCAAGTACGGCCATGAAATCATCGCCGCCATCTTGGAATTGTGACGGCATGTCAAAAATGGAAGCGCGTTAATCCATGCGCAAAAGTACAAGGAATAAGCATGCGAAGTTGAAATTCTGACGTCCTAACAAAATTATTCAAGAAATAAGAATTCCATATATCATGTCGTTCATACTTGAATTGATAGAGGCTTATGCACATTTCGAAAACATTTCGACAAAATGAAACCAGCCCTTGTTCCAGAAAGTCTCATCAAAATGAGGGTCGGGGGTGGATGGCCGAATTGTTGTATCATAAGGTCTGTCATTGAGTCAACTGGCGTGGTTACCGGAAGAAAGATGGGCTTCTGATGTCCAATATTTAAGACAAACTAAACATTTTACCATTGGTACACGAATCGTGTACCATAACGTGTTTCAGCGCAATTTGCAACACGGGACTCGAAGAAAGAGACTAGACATAATCCACAAGTAATGGCAAATGGTGACGCCATATTCTTATCTGGAGAGCATGGGCAATAAATACTATTGGTGTAGACTGGAATAACCAGACGCTAGAGATTGCCATTCGATTGAGACTTCTGGCGGATTTCGCCGAACATAACTGGTTTGAAATTAGGGTAAAACGGAAACGATTGAATGTAAATCAATTTATATACATTCATATTACAATATTATATGCGTTTCGACCCATTTGTGTCAATGTCTAGATCCCAGATATTAGTGATTTAGTTCCTTTAATACACGCTAAATCGATTATAAGACATTTAAGTAGTAGTTATTAGCACACTTTCCTAGGTGTATCGGTGAATATCAGGACAGTTTTGGTCGAGGGGCCCAGCCGAGGCGGCTCCCGACCAAAACTGTCCTGATATTCACCGATACACCGAGGAAAGGTGCTAATAAGTTACTTACATCACATTTCTATCGAGTATTGTGAAGCAAAATGTGAAAAATAGTATTTATTATCGAGTCGTTTCAACCGAAAAGTTCTTTCATTATTTATCCCTTTCTGAGCCTCACGTTACATTTCATGGTAGAATGATTTCGCAGTGGAGAGACGACCTGAGTAGTATTCACACGTGCGTCTTGCTATGATACTCTGAGCGTAAAACAATCACGTGTTTGTTTAGACCACATCGTCAAAACAATGTCTATGGCGTAGAGGACTGCGATATTATTAAATGTAGTGTATAGGAAATGCGAAACGTGGGTCATTCCTGGTGAAAGTATGCATCGGCGGATGGTTCTTCCGTTGAAATTTATTTGTAATAAAGTTTATGACTTTCTAGGCGTTTTTTTTTTCATCCTGCTTATTTTCAATGCCTGTGAAGTGTCCAGCAAGGGAACTGCGCCTTCTATCTTCACAATTAATTAAAATAATTATTCAATATTCTAATTTATATATTTTGCATATTAATATAAATCAAACCAAATTATGAAATAGATGCCAATTGGTATGTATAATAATTGATTTTTGTAATATGTTGTTATGTTAATTTAATGTCATTGTATATGTTTTTGAACTGCCATGTAGTTCCCCCCATTTTGTTTTGTTACTATGATTTTGACTAGTTGTTTCATGCACATTGGTTAGAGCCTCGTTATCAATTGCGATCTGGGTCGGACTAAACGTCCGCTACTTATTGCTTGATAGATATCTAAAACGGTATAAAAATATCCGTGTATCAGAAATGATCAGTACTCTTTCTGTACATTTCTGATACTTTTAAGCATGTATTGCAATTAAACAGGACAGTTTTATCAAAGGTTGCCAGTGGCAACGAGTAGAAGTGGGATGTAATTAAAGATACATTATGGAAGATTAGATCAAGAGCTGGCTGTTATCACTATAAGATTTAAATGAAATTTACTGAACATGTCAGTCAAATTGATCCACTCTGAACCGAGAATTGAGCGATTGAATTTTAGGCCTAGCCTCGGCCATCATTATAAAGTCGGTACGATAAAAAACATAGTCTCGATTATCCAGTTTTTGATTTAATCATCAATGAGCGGTGAGTAGCATATCGGATTCCAATCTCTCTCTCTCACACTCTCTCTCTATCTCTCATTAAAATATAATGTCATATTAATACTTACACTGAAATTGGGAACATTCTTCTTAGTTATTTTCCCGTGGTCACATACAAACACTTCTAATTCGATATTAGGGGCCCGTCGCAATCTTAATTTAGCGTCTGTTTTCTCCGACTTGAGATGAAAGTACATAGTCTTAGGCAGCTCGCCATCGGCTGATCTTTTTGATCGTTCTCCAGTTGTAATTTCTTCCACCTGAACCATATCTAAAAAAATTCCCATAATATTAGAAAACAACTGCTTTCAGAGTTTAACTGGTGACTTGATGATTTACCAGTGGATGCGTAGGTCAAGGACATACAATTTGTAGCGACGCGACGGAAACGATGCTCCAATGAAATCATTATTTTCAGACCATACAGTATATTTGTAAAATACAGGGGCCTGTTTCACGAAATTTTAACTAAGATAAAATCCAAATTTTAGTAATTTCATTGGATAATATTAGATTTATATTAGTGCTTAGCCAATCAAAATTGAAGTATCTTCTAAAATTTGGATTTTATCTTTTGTTAAAATTTCGTGAAACAGGGCCCTGATCTTTACAGAAACTATGCATCTTGAACAATTGCTACGATTTAAGAGGCATTGTACACGAGCTGAATCTCTCCATTGCATGTCTTTCTTTAGGTCTTAAATATAATCTCATTTATTGAACATACATTATGACGTCATATTAATAATGACGTCATTGTATTAATCATATTAAACGTACATTATGCAAGAGTTAAATCTGTCTATTGCAGGTCTTTCTTTAGGCCTGAAATGTTATCTAAATATTACTTAGACATTAATTAACTTATCCAGGCCATAATCAACTCTTAATGGCATCGGATTTCTCCGATATTAAATAGATTAGAACAGTTCAGCCATATTTTGATTTAAGCTAAAAATGGAGGAGCCAAACTTAGCTTCGAACAACCAGTACGGTGGTTGAAATTATTACACAAGTCTTGTCAAACCTTCAAAGGTAGGGTGACCCGTGCACTCTACAGAAAGTTTGTCTCGACACGGCTAAATGTGCACGCTTCAGTTGCGTGTCTCGAACTGATTTCTGACTACCCCGCACTCTCTTTGAGTCGATAAATAGCCATGCACGTGCAATTCTCTACAAATATATCAACTATTACAGCCGTAAAAATCTATTGTTGACGATTTTGAATAGCAGTAAAATTTAGCTTGTAGGTTATTACAGCAGATTTAGAAATTACGTTTGTTTTATTTTTTAAATTGCTTTATCATTAACTGTACCGTTAAGAGCGGCATCTTTTGGTTTAGTACAAATAATATCTCTGAAACACTCGGGTTAGACAGGAACATGATACTAGCAGTAGTTTCATTTTACTTTTACAAGTTTCTTAAAACAATTGTTGAGTTGTCTAAAGTGCTTATTTCTAAATTCAATTTCTTGTTCTAGCTTTCTGTTATGTTTCGTAAAAAAGTAGTCTTGATTATCCCGACCTGTCAATCAGACGTAGAATGGTCGATAGACTGGTTAAGCGAGACTAATTTCAAAACAAGGGCACGTTTCCTATCTTTTACTCAAAAGTGTCTGGATGTTATGGACGACACTTGGAACCAGTTTTCAGTCTATTATTTATAGATGATTAATGGTCATAGCTTATTAAGTACAAAATGATCGTTTATTTAGTGACTATAATTGTGTGAAACTGATTTGAGGCTTGGTATATATATAAATATTGTGGCGTAATTGTCGAGATATTTGGAGATATTTATTTATGGTGGGTCACCCTATCAAAGGCTAATATCTTCGCTCGCAATAGAGTAATTTGAATGAAATTTTCAAAGTATTCCTTATCTATTTTAGAACTATTATAGCCAGAATGTCTAGCTCTTTATCTAAATCTTACATAATGTATCTTTAATTAAACATTTATGAACATAACAAGACCATAACCAACTCTCGGTGCCATCGGATGGCTCCGATTGTAAGTAGATTAGAACGCTTCGTCAATTTAACGATTTAATTCAAAAGTCTCGCATAAACAGCACCGTGGTTACGATAATAAACAATCAATGAACAAATCTTATCGAAACTACAAACACTGATAACTTGGCTCAGAATAAAGTAATTTGAATGAAATTTTCAATATCTATTTTCAATAATCTATTTTCAGTATCTATTTTTGAACTACATGTATTATAGCTATAGCGGTCAATTCCTTATCTTAATCTTACATACTGCATCTTTAACAAGCAAAATAAAAACTTTTTTATAAAAGAAAAAAAAAATCTGAAATAGTACCATATTCGATAGCTTTCTGGGGTTTAGTCACTGATATACCAGCCACTGCAACCATACACAGAGAAATAACAACAATGTAGTAACTGAAAATTAAAAAAAAAACTGCTGTTGGCCTTAATGTTTCGACTCTACCGTCATGCACGGCTGATCCCGGTCATGAACGGTTGTTTTCGGTACGTTTAAGTTTAAAAAGTTTAAATTATAAATTTAAGTTAAAATGTTTAAATTATAAATTTAAGTTAAAAAGTTTAAATTATAAATTTAAGTTAAAAAGTTTAAATTATAAATTTAAGTTAAAAAAATGAATAAAAGTTTAAATTAAAAGTTTAATTAAAAAAAATAAAGTTTAAAAACAATTAAAGTTTAAATTATAAATTTATGTTTAAAAATGAACTGAATTTTAAATTAAAAATCTATGTTGAGAACTTGGATGTTGAGAGAGAGAGAGAGAGAGAGGGAGAGAGAGAGAGAGAGAGAGAGAGAGAGAGAGATGGGGTTTAACGTCAACTCGAAAGTAAATAACCATTCGCCCCCCCCCCTCCTGGATGTTGATGCCTTCCAGAAACCTGATTTCTATTAAAATCAAAGTTATAACGAAAACAACCGACATTAATCTGAAATAGAAACTGATATATAAGAAGTTAATTCTTGAAAATATACAATATAATAAAATTTCTTACGCCATTATTTTCATTCTGTCTCAAGTCGAATACATCAGAACAGGACTAATATATGCTATTATAATTCCGCGTTTTATATATCTTAAACCCGCCTTAAGAAACAATAAAACAGATTAAATCATAAACAATAAAACTGTAAATCTTCTAAATTAGACTCAAGATCATAAAATGCCCAGTAGCAAAGGCAACGCGTTTATAATTAAAACAAATGTTCGTTTTATGTGACTCATTTTCTAGGAAATATCCCCTATTTTCTTAGTTCTGCGGTGGTCGCATGGTTTGACGCGTGCGCTTTGAATCAGGAGGTCTATCGTTGAGTGACGTGGTTTCGATTTCGGTTCCAAACTAGTACGTGACAAACTGTACTTGTGAGTTTTCTACGGGTCTCCCTGTTTCATCCCACTGCTAAAGACCCTTACGCGCTAGCGAATTATTTAAATAAAACTGAAACATATGTTAGTCCCGAAATGACCTACTCTGTATTGAGTAGATGTTAATCCTATGTTTTTGACCCCTGTCTCTGAATAAATCACTATGGGTTTGTCGGAGCCACGGTGGTTAAGTGAGTAAGACACTGGCTTGCTAGCCTTGAGGTCGCGGGTTCGATCCCGATGTTGGTCGAGATTTTCCGGTCTGGTTTCCCCTTGTTAGTGGTGCAGGATGGAAGGCCTGACAAGGACAGCTGTCTAGTCGTTAGGATAAAACGAATAACCGAGGTCGTGTGTTCTAATCCATTTAAATCTCTGCCATCCGATCCCCCAGAGAGTTGATTATGGGCTTGCCATGTGAATACATGTCTAAAAATTTAAAATTGTTTATATAACATTTCAAGAAAAAAAAAACATGCAAAGGGTAGATTGAGCTCTTACATAATGCATCTTTAATTTCAGGTAAACAAAGAGAAGGAAGATCGAGTTTTTACATAATGCACCTTTAATTTCAGGTAAACTAAAGGAAGATTGAGTATTTACATAATACATCTTTAATTTCAGGTAAACAAAAGGAAGATTGAGTATTTACATAATACATCTTTAATTTCAGGTAAACAAAAGAAAGATTGAGTATTTACATAATGCATCTTTAATTTCAGGTAAACAAAAGGAAGGAAGATTGAGTATTTACATAATGCATCTTTAATTTCAGGTAAACAAAAGAAAGATTGAGTATTTACATAATGCATCTTTAATTTCAGGTAAACAAAAGGAAGATTGAGTATTTACATAATGCATCTTTAATTTCAGGTAAACTAAAGGAAGATTGAGATCTTACATAATGCATCTTTAATTTCAGGTAAACAAAAGAAAGGAAGATTGAGTATTTACATAATGCATCTTTAATTTAGTTACCATATTTATCAAACCACTCCACCAATTTGCTTAAGGTGATTTTGTTTTACTGAAATATCGTCGCGGTTTGTGGAACATGAAATCTGAATACTTCTTCTTTTTCTTCTATTAATGTTTAACGTCCACTTCCACCGAGGGTCATATCGCAGACAAGTTGTCTTATTTTATTATGCTTAGCGCATGCGCGGGGTCTTTCCTGTAGTTGAGAAGGTGCCCTATCTTCAAACCACACATGCTCTCCCCGGGTATCTAAAGCATGAACACAAGCCACAGGTGACGGGTCAGCTAGAGCTGGAAGCGCGACACTGTAGATCACTAGGCCATCACATTCCCCCAATGTGGATACACAATGATTTCACTTCTATAAATTACGGTTGCTTTGCATTTAAAATCAAAGAAATTTGAACACAATCTAATTAAAATATAGATCTATATTTCGTTTCGTTTTTTATACTTTCCATGGCCTACACTACCAATTTGTTTTACAGACCTAATTCGACATCCGTCTTTTACGTCTGTCCAAGATGACTGACCTTTAAAAGGTCAGACCGCTGTAGGTCTAAGGGTGACGTCACATCACAATGTTTACCAACAAAGCAAGATGGCATCGATAACGCCAAAAAAGATTACTTCTGTGGCTTGTTTTTGTTCGTTTTAAAACAAACACGAGCAGGTCAATCAGATTAGGCAGTAAAAAATGTACTTCTGAAAGAATTCAGAGTAAACAAACAGAAAAAATGTTTCAGAATTTAATTTGTCGAAAGAAAAAAGTTAATATTTTGTAGTCATGAAGTAGCATCGATGTCATCCTTATCAGTGATTGTAGCGGCCAAGCGAATATTCACTGCGGATCAGTGTGCTACACTACATGTAGTAAAGACAAGTAAAATCGAAATTTTGAACTATAAAAACGAAACGAAATTGCATCTGTGTTTTAATCAGATTGATTTGAACAATAAAATGGCCCGAATGTAAACTGTGTACCTG